GTGAAAAAAGACCGACAGATGGGGTACCATCACACGCTGATGGCTGGGTATTGGGATACTACGGTGTAATGGGTGCAAGTGACGGCAATGGTATATTTGACGAGGCATCTGTAGTGGAGGGCACTTGTCAGCAGTCGTGGCATCGGCGTTTGAGGTGATACTTTTTCTTGGGCAGGTTTACGAATCATGTTAGGGCAAACACGGCTTTTCAGTGCGATTGGAATCATAACATCGGCGAAGCCGTTTATCTGAGTCAGCGGAGACACCAAATCCGTGATTATCATGGCACGCTGCCCGTAGTTTGCATTGGTAAAACTGTGAAGACTACGAGCATCTGGATCCAGGTAGTATGAGAACAGACATGGAGTCGCAAGAATGTGATCAAAGCCATGCTGACTTGTAAGTTGGCCTGATTGTTGTCAATCACAAGGATAATTTCTGCCAAGAAAGTGTCCTCAAGCAGCAATGAATGCCATGAGCTTGATGATGTGTATACGTAGAGGGGCAGTGCACTCTCGAATGGGAGACAGCCTAGGGAAACCGTAATTTTGCCAGTTCAGGCGTAGAGAGAGGTTTCGGCAGTCGAAAGGTATGCCGAGGAAGCCACCAACAGGTCAAGGCGGCGTCACGAGGTACAGAGGCGTTATGTTAGCTCCGGAGCAAGACAGGGACGCGTTTCATATTTATCGTTCAGGTATTCAGGCAACTTGACCTTCCCACGTGCAGAAGCTGTACGCTCGATCAAGGTGTGACGATGGACAGCATCGACGAGAACGCATCGAATGCAATTGAACACACTAGAGCCGACATTGATTCCTGGGTGCCAAGTCATCCGAACAACAAATCACACAGTTGTAACGGCATCTGTGGGATTGTTTACATTGGAATAGCATCCGTGATGCGAATAGTACAGCCACTGGTCTGGCAGTGCTCTATGGTACAGAAAATAGTTGGTTGGTAAACATACAAAAAATAGACCGCCTCTTGTTTGCCCAGGAAAGACAGTCGGACCTCACATGAGCAGAAGCGGCTCTACGTGAACCTTCTTATTAGGCCTTGGACGCCTTTTCACGCCTCTTGCCCATGTTACGCACCCGAGGCTCGACGACCCATTTGTTGAAATTATGCTTGCGACGCGTCTTGTAACCACCCTTGGACTAGATCACACGATTTAGCAACCGTGTCGATGCATGGATTCAAAGAGAGGAGGCTTACTGGTGTTCCCCAGGGACTTGTGGGATGGCGATTACCCTTCGACTTGCCTCGGCCACCACCATGGGGATGGTCAACTAATGATGTTGTCAGCTTGTTCTTCGTGCAGCTTGTTGCTAGGTTGTGGAGCAATGTGCGCACCTGAGTTCATCGCAAGTCCACGGACAGTCGGGCGAATATTGAGCCAACGACTCCTACCAGCCTTGCCTAGTTGCCTGTACTGATGATGCGGGTTGCTCGCAACCCCTATCGTAGCGCAAGCATCCTTGCTTACTCGGCGGACCTCGCCACTCTGAAGTCTGACGGTGACATATTTGCCCGTCATGACCTTGGTGCCATCATCCTTGGTTTCCTCCTCCTTCGAAACCACGATGGCGTGGGTTCCAGCGCTGCGGCAAAAAACGGCAGGGCCACGGGCTCTCGAGCCGACGTTGTAGACCACCGTGCCGACTGGAACCATGTGCATCGGCAAGCAGTTACCCCTCCAGGCAGTTTTGGCGGCCAAGATACCGGGATCAACCACACCACCCATGCTATCAAGCAGGGCCTTCGGGATGCCTGAACGGTAGCTCTGGACGACGTCGCCAGCTCGCATGCCCTCTGCGGCAACGATGTAGCTTTTACGACCATTGGCCTGATTGGTAATGAGGGCAATGTGGGCACTCCGACCTGGATCGTATTCGATTCGGTCAACGAGGTGAGGACCTCCTTTATTCCGATCAAAGTCCACAGTCCGGATCCTCCTTTTCGCACCACCACCGCGGTGCCTGACAGTGACCTTGCCTGTGGAGTTACGACCACCCTTGCCGTGGCCCTTCTTCGGGAAGGTCAGGGCGAGAAACGGTCTGCCTTTCCACAAGTGGTCGTTGATGGGACGCTTGAGATGACGGACACCAGGGGTGCGAGGCTTGTACGTGCGCATGATAACCGAGTCCTTGACAACGGGGGAAGAGGTGGAATCGGGTGCCGCATATTCGCTTATGACGGTATTCGAGCTGTCGATGCTTTTGGGGTCGGATGATTTGGGCGGAGCCCGGACGGAGGCAAACTGGCGCGCGAAGGTTGGTTGCAGCGCTATAGATCGCCGCAAAGCTGGAGCGGCCTGCGAAGCCGCAAAAAGACGCGTTTGCAGCATCATGGCGGTAGCACAAGCTTCTGGAGCTGGGCCTACGGGAGCGTTGTAGGTGTCAAGAATGCGAGAGGTGAAAGGTCGTTCAGGTGCACATTGCTGGTCGAAAATGGGCAACGTTTCGGGATTTGTTCTGCTTTCGAGTCCGCTTTGGCTGTAGAGAAAGCTCAATGCGATAGATGAGTCTTTGGTCGACCTTTTCTTGGCCCGAACCAGCCGTGGAGATAGGTGCGTTGCTTGCACAACCCCGACAATAGCTATCAAGGTCGAGATGGCCTGTCTCTAGTAGCGTGGATCGCGGATGCAGATTTCGAATCGTGACCCTGAGCTGCCCACGCGGCTGGCCAGGTTGGCTTGCTTCACCCGATGATTTGCCGAGTCTCTCCAGCCACAGGTGAGCGACACTGCCACACAACTCGTTACCCCATCTAGCAGGAGGACTGGCGCGACGGACCACGATCCCCAGTGTGACGGCAGAGTGGGTCGCAAGCGCGTCGAGACACCAATAGTCAGGCCGTTGCTGGGTCGTTGCTGCTGTTGATGTGAACGCTGACCCCCAGATCCCCTGCAACGGCAAGCCTAGCTGCAGGCGAAGAGCTGCCAGCACCTGGCAGGATCTGCTGACTGTCTAGACGGATTGCGCCTGAATGTTACAAACCGAACCGTGACTGAATCCACCGACACGACGACATGCATCGCGCGAGCCGTCGCGTCCACCCCTCCCTTAGACTTGTGCATTGTCAACCATATTTCAGCCCAGCCTCCCTCTGACTTCCCGTCTCGTCATCCACCCTCCAGCATCTATCTGTTTCGTTCCTCCCGCCCTGCCTCCTACCGTTCACGAGAAGACATTCCCCAGCATTCTCCCAACGCGGGCTATTCCACCTTCAGCAGATTCTCATTGCAGCCAGGCGCCTACTTAGGTGCCCTACCTGCGTCACTTTCACCGAGTAAGACCGAGTACGGTGCTCAGTCTTCCCTCGACGCGACCAACACGCTCTAGACAGTTCCCAAGCGAATTGACTAGGCACGAACGGCTCTGTGGAAAGAAGGAATTTCGACGCGCCAGCATAAGCACACCGCACAGCGCATCTGCACCAGCAATTCGAAGCGTGGCACGCGGTATCCGTAGTGACCAGCCCCAGCTTTCAGACGCGGTCGTGGTGCACCCTCACGTTCGCGGGCCGCCGTCTGCCAGCCACCAGAGACGGGTACGTACCCACCACATATCCACTTCTAGTG